AAATTCCAGTTCAGTTCATTTTTCATAAGACAGTTTGTATTAGGAATGGACACACCAGTGATGTTTAAGATTGTCAACATTCTCTAGACAGTATTGTGTTGCTTTTCTGGTAGCTGATTCCCATTTGTGTTTGCAATTACTGGTCACTCAACTCACAGGGAAACTTTCCGAATTCAAGCAGCAATCAAACAGGAGGTACATGTAAATCTCCCTAAATAGGGGCAAATTGCGGCATTTGTGCAAGTTTCAGCTGATTCAGACCACACTTGCACAGGGCTTGCTTATATGTTTTGGGTACATCCCTAGTGTGCATGTTGCTTGTGGTGGTGCCTGGTTGTAACCATGTATATGTGGGAAGTCAGGACACGCATTAATATGCTGGTGGTTGTTTTCAGCTATCTTGGGAAACAGAGGATGAGGTGGCTGGATGGAGTCACTGAAGCAGTTGGTGTGAACTTGGGTGGACTCCAGGGGATGGTGGAGGACAGGGAAGCCTGGAGGAATGTGGTGCATGGGTTGGACACAACTACGCAACTAACATAACATATTTTGGGAAAGCATCTGATGGGAAGGCAGGGAACTTCTGATGGCGGGGAACCTTTGTGGCCACTTGCTATGGAGGGCCTGCAGGGTTGGCAGGAAGGCACACCAGGCTAGTTCACACAGAAGCCTGTGGGCATCCTGGGAGCAGAAGCTGATGGAGGCCTCTCTGTCTCTCCACTCTTGGGTGGCTGGCCCGTCCTTCAATGCTGATTTGCAGCATTCCCGTCCTGAGGCCGACTCCGAGCAAGTTATCATCCCACACAATTATCAGCCCTACAGGGTCAACTCAGCAGCCCTGGATTAGCTAGCCAATTGTGCCACTTGTTTAACGAGCTTTCACTGTGGACAATGGGATCACAAAATGAGAAATCACCTTGTAATTAAAGCATTTTTTAAAAAAATACATTTCAATCACAATTTCTCTTTCCTCCCATTAACACATTCAAGCGTCAGCACTTGTAGGCCAGCCAGGTCAAGGAGGTCTTGAAGAACTGCAGATTGCTTTCTTTCCTATTAATATGAGCCACAGGGGAGGGGGAGAATCATTTGAATATAATAAAGAAGCACTTAATTCTCCCGACAGTGCCTCTGCAAAGCCCTGTGTGAGCTATTTCTTCTGACATTGATTCTAAGTTCTTTATTAGTATATTTTTGGAGAAGCCCACGGGAATGCTGGTTCAGTGCGAGGGATGGGCTGAGATCAACCAGTAAGTGCAGGTGTTGGTACTGAAGGCAGTCCGTTAGGCTGGAATGAGGCATTATGGCAGAAGTGGGAGTGATCACCAAACCAGCAGTGCCATTTCTCATTCTCTGCATCCCCCACCCTGAGGCTAGATCAGCCTTCCCCAATTTGCTGCCAACGAGGTGTTTTGGATGGCATCTCCCATCTGTTGTCTGGGCTGATGGGAATTATAGCCTGGGTCATCTGCAGGACACCAGGTTGAGCTGCAGAGAGGCAGTGTGGCCATCAGAGCATGAGTTTTGCCAGCTGCACGGGCAACAGGAAATGGCGAGAAGCAGGGACTGCAGAGGCTCAGTGTGACGGTACCCACCTCATGCGGACATTTCTAGGCATTCTGGGGGAGAGAAGAGAAGCAGGCAGGGGACCGCTGCATTGCGTGTGGTGGCAGCCCTGCATTTATCATTACATGCTCAGTAAACAGAACTGTTGATTAAATCCACGCATCAGTTCAAAGGATCCACACATAATCAAATGCATGTCTCAGAAAAACAGATGCTCAGTCCCACTGATGGGAGATGCATCCATGCCACTTGCCAAGGTTGCATCAGGGTGAAAAGCTGTGCTAACGTTTAGTGCTTTTGTGCTTGCTTGCGTGGCAGAGCAGAGAGCAAAACGTTAAACAAACAGTGATAAAGCTTAAAACGTTTAAGGGCTATAGCACAAGGATTGTTTTCCTTGCAAGTGATGCCATAGATACTTTTCATTAAAAAGTAGCTGTGGGAATTGCACGCCACGGCCGTTCGGAAGGTGGGATGGAGCTTGCATTTTCTCATCATTAGCACTGGCCCAGCTGGTTTTAACCTTTCAATGCTCTGGTGCTCCAGATACCTTTTTTTTTTTTTTTCCTTTTTTGGAAGTAGGGGGACATTAAAAATATTTTCAGGAAGTGCACAATCCTTGAAGTTGGGCATATGCATTGCACTGATAAAGTCCTTTGGGAGTTACAGGCTAGGATAAATTACTTTTGTTGAGGTAGTTAAATATTAGTGCATCCAACTATTTCGTAAGCTTCGGGTTTCATATCTCAATAAATCTTCAACAATTAAAGAATGCTAGACAACTAACAATGCGGTCCTGTACACTGTATTCTGCAGCAATCGCCGTGGAATTCCATGAGGTCTTGAACTGCATGAGTTTTCCAGTGTGACCCAATGCCTGAAGTGTGTCCCCCATTTCAGATGGGGGGGGTGTCATGCCGTGCCAGTGGCAGGAGCCTTCCCCCGGGAACAGCCAAGCCCCCAGCTCTGGGGCTTCAGGGAAGCGGCGCACAGCCCCCATCAGCAGGATGAGCCAGAGGGCTCCCCAGTGCAGCAGGGATGGCCCACCACATCTGGACCTCGGTGAAGGAATTTACGCCAGCCAGGCAAACCAAAAGCTGGCTGGGACAGCGTGAGGCTCAGGCTGAAAACTGACCTTCTGGGGAGGCTGCTGGGGAGAGCACGCTGTGGGAGGGCCGCCTCGGGTCCTGGGAAGATCCCTGATCTTGCCAGGTGAGCAGAATGCCAGCCCTGCCTCTGCATCCGAATCCGGTAGCAACAGGATGAGCTGGCACCATCTCAGAGAAGCGAGTGGGCACCAACCCTGGCAAATGTTCGCTTCCTGAGGTTTGCAGAAGGGCGGGGAGAAAAAGAGTGTCTGCAAACACTCGCAAGGCTGTTGCGCTGATTAATCAAGGAGCACTTTTCCTTGTGTTTACATTGATCAGAAGGCTTTGAATCAATTGGTTCAACGAATTGATGAAAATGTGTGTGTGGTTTTTTTATTGACTGTTACAGTTTTAATTTAGACTCGTCCTGCATTGTGTTGATGGCTCTGAGACAAAAGATCAGCACTGGAATAGCAATTAGTACTGGTTGTGGTAGTACTACTACTAGTAGAAGTAGTAGTAGTAATAATAATTGTTGTGACTTTTGTAATTAGTCTGCTTGCCTGTCAAACCTGCCTTTTTTGTAATGCTAACCTTTTTAATGAGCCTGGATTGGAAGTTCACAATTTGCTATTAAGTTCAGAATTAATTGCAAGACTCTTAGCACATGCAGCCTGCAGCTACTCAATGCCCTTTCTGCCTGGCATTGGCTGGATTATCCTTTTCCTGCGTAAGCTGGTATGACCTCGCTCCCCACCATTCCCATCCCATTGCCACTGCCACTTCTCTGGTCCCAGGAGCAGGGGGAGGACAAGCAGCCCCATCCGCAAAAGCTTTCAGTCTCCCTGCCACTCTTATCGCCATCACCACAACGGGCTCCAAGGAGAGCCAGCCTGATCCCAAACCGCACCTCCCAGGATGCACTTTGAGATCAGTGCCCGTGCAAACGCTTTTCTACACTGAGTGAGTGTTCTCCTTGCAGGAGGACTCTCATCTGAACCTGCATGAATGAGTTCATGATTTTCCAATAAATTACATTCTTACTGAGTGTTCAGTTTGCCCGTCACTAATAATTATATATAAACACTGTCAGTCTATTTACAACATGTGCAAAGTGCATGGGTGACCTTTCTTAGCACAGGTGCGCCTTCTGGGGATTTCTCAGATGTGCCTTCCTTGGGAAGGATGCATAAAAGGTACCCTTCATGCATGACACCTACAGGCACCTGGAATTACTGGTGTCATTTGTTCCCAGTTTGCCAAAGCACGTTGATAAGGTTCCTGGGACCACGGCCATTGTGTACTGATGCCCAGAAAGGGATTCTGAGTCACTTGCTCGGATCCGTGACTCCACTCAGGGACTGTTTGCACATAATCCTTTGCACAAATACCCAGCTTGGTAATCAGCCATGAATTTTGTCACACTCCAAACCTTAAGTACTATTAATTGTAGCAGCCGCTCAGCCATCCATAAGAATCATTAATTAGAATGCAGCAAGCTGCACAAAGCCCATAAAAGAAAATGTTTTTATTAAGCAGTTTTTTTTGGAGTGGTGGTCATTATTATCTATTTATTTGCAACCAAATGGGATTGCCAGTTTACGATTTAAAAATGACAAATCTGGATAGATCTAGGGACATACGAATTAGCAAAGCTCAAGCTGGCCAGAGTTCTCCCACTTCAAAAATGCCTTCCAGTTCTGATCTGTATCAGGTTGCAAGCTCTTTTCTTTGCATAGAAATTATGTATATTCATAGATGTGCTTTTTCATATATATACACCTATTACAGCCATATGTACACATTCTTTTTCCACAGATTTGTGTGCATTTTTCTAAGGTATGCATTTTAATGGACTTCTTAAATTGTCCACATGCTGTCTAATGCAATTTTACTCTGCAGTTCACATTTCAAACTCAGAAATGTACAGGTTTCAATCACAAGAACATGTTTGTTCCAAAAGGCTAGAACTGGGTGAATCCCAATCAAAACTGAACTGATGCACATTTTTCATACGTCTCTAGGCAAAGCCATTGATGGATTTGGACCATTCAAGAAAAAAAATGGAACATTCAGATTTCAGAGAAAGGAATCGGGGCTGGGGCAGCAGTGTGTCCCACTCCCTCTTATCCACATGTAGCTGCTATTCTTTGATAAAGCCTGAAGAAGACTCTAATTTTCAGCTCTGAATATTTCATTTCCTCCATCTCAATCAAGATTCTCACTTGGAAAATGCTAATGAGAAGTGAGCTGATTGCTTAATCTCATAATTTTTGCCTTACTCACATATGGCACAAAATGTTATTGCATTTAACAGAAACATCTGATTTTATGTTTAATCATTTTCAGGCAACAGAGTATCTTCAATGAATTCTGAAGTATAAGAAAATGAAGAAAGAGTGAATCCCCTTTTGTTCTCTGTTGAACTGATATTTAATGTTCAGAAGATGTTGATGCATTCCGTAGAGACACTCCATTATTCTTCAGGATATTTTATAGGCCCCATCTAAGGGTTGTCTGGGTTAATGTGTTTGACATCCAGAGTTTGATACAGAATGTCTTGAAGTAGTTGTTGAACGTTCTCGTAGTAAATACTTTTGAATTGTTTCTTGGCCTAAAATGAATTAAAGTAATATAATAACCATTTCTCTGGTGTTTGTAGATATGTTATAATGCCTGTTTTCTTCATTGTCCTAATTGTTGTTGTTTTTTACAATGAATTTCTTATTTCACCATTTTAGCTCCTCATTTTCTGCTATAATATTGCTCCAAAACCTCCTGCCATATGTTCCATATGCAGGTCTAGATCTCTAAAAACATTGCAATTGACTTAAGGTGCAACCTTACCCACACTTATAGGGAGTAAATCCCATGAAACACAGAATGGCTTATTTCTGAGTAGATGTGTATTGGGTTGCTGTGTTAGGGAATTAAAATATGGCTAGTGAAACAATCTGCCCATTCAAGCCAAGAAGAATATAAGGTATATTACTTTCTAGGAGGCAACTGAACTTCATTTGTGGTTAATTGACTATCATGGTTAATACACAGATTAAGGTATTCCAAAGGCCTTATTCCAGCAGTATGAAAGGGTTTGTTTGTTTTTCCCTAGGAATGGTCATTGGATGTGGTTAAAGTCTGAGCCCTAAGCTGAACTGGTGCCCCTCAGACTCTTCATGCTCTTTCCGCAAATAAGGTGGGCTTCTCTTGAAGGGACCGGAACTGAACTTGAACTCTTCATGAGGCTTCACAGACAATTCTGCTTTATAAAGGCAGACAGCATCTCCCAAAATACCATCTTTCCCCAAATGCTGATTAGGGCTGGGTGGGAAGCAGGAGGAGGTAGTGGGACTGAGCAACTTATGGGGCTTGGGTGACTGCCTTTCTAATCATAAGGCTCATCTTACAAGGGGGCATTCCATCACTGTTCTTTGTTTTTCCTGATAGCCTCCTAATCTTTAACAGCTACAAAATAAAATTCTCCTTGCTGGGAATAGGTTTGCCTATTGAATTTCTTTAGAGCAGATTGGTGAGACTCTTGCTCAGTTTGTTTTTGGAAAGAATATGCCAATATGCACACATTTTTTATAGATTCATAGAATAGTTGGGACAGAAGGGGCCAAGGAGGCCATCAGGTCCAACCTCTGCTGATGCTGGACACTAAGTCACACCATCCCACTCAGATGACTGTCCAGTTTCTCCTGAATGTTTCTCATGAGAGGTATCCCACCACCTCTCTTGGCAACTGGTCCCACTGTTGTATTGCTCTGACTGTGAGGAAGCTTTTCCTGATGTCCAGCCAGAATCTGGTGTGCTGCAGTTTAAGTTTGCTGTTCCACGTCCTACACTTGGAGATGAGTGAGAAGAGGTCTTGTCCTCCCTCTAGTGACAGCCTTTGAGGTACTTGTAGAGAGCTAGCATATCCCCTCTTAGTCTTCCCTTCTTGAGGGAACATGCCCAGCTTTCATAGCTTCTGATAGTGCTGGACGAGAGCTTTGCGAATACCCTGGACCAACAGGAAGATGAAAAATGGGTCCTAGATCAAATCCGGGCAACTAGATGCACAAATGACAAAAGTGAGGCTGTCATACTTCGGACACATCATGAGAAGGCAAGATTCCCTGGAGAAGGCAATCATGTTGGAGGAGACAAAAGGGAAGGCCAAATATGGGATGGATTGACTCCATAAAGAAAGCCACACACTTGAGTTTACAAGAGCTGAATGAGGCTTTCGAGGGCAGGACAGTTTACAGGGCTTTCATTCGTAATGTTGCCAACAGGCAGAGATGAGTTGGTGGCACATAACAAGAACAAGAGCAGGCCATGTGCTTGGTGAGCATGGCAAAGTCACTGGATCATGCGTTTGCCTCCTTCCCAGCCACAGACCGTGTCATTTGATTCCATGCACATATTTGATTCCATGCACAGAAACCCTAGAAAGGGTTCGGAAAGTGTATCAGATATGATCCAGGGGCTGGAAATTAAGCTATTGTCTGCTTTCTTTGGTGTCCATCTTTCACACCCATATATGGTGACTGGGAATACAATAGCATGGATAATCATGGCCTTTTTCTCCAGTGAAACATCCTGGCACTCGATGAACTTTTCCAGTTCCTTCATTGCTGCCCTCTCATATCTCAGTGCTTTGAATTTCTTGGCTGCAGTCTCCTTTTGAATGGATGAGTGAGCTGAGGTTTGTAAAATCTCTCACAAATTTCTCCTTGTTAACAGTAAAGTTCTGTAATTCTCCTGCAGTCATGATTTTGGTTTTCTTAATATTCAGCTGCAGTCCTGCCTTTGCACTTTCTTCTTTCACCTTCATCAAGAGTGCAGAGCCAACCTGTGTTTAATCTACTTGTATGTGTGTTGTGGGCTGTCAGGCATCATTTAGTTCACTGCCTGTTCATTGACAGTTTCACAATATGTTTCCCCTTTCGGCACAGTGTACAAAACAAAAATCTGCCATGATGTAAGGAACTTTTGCTGCTACACAATATTATATATGCATATCTGTCTATATTGATGTTTTCCGATCAAGAAGCAGCAGGCAAATGCATGCACGCAAAGTATTGCCACACAGCAGAGGCTGACTATAGATCAGAGATGTATATAATGCGGGCTTTGCATTTGGTTTTTTAAAGGCACAAACATGAATGTGCTTTAGAGAAACTTTCATATTTTTGCACAAAAAAATTGGTGTGCAACTGTGGAAAATTAAAAAAGCAGTCTGCATATCCACAGAAGATAAGAGATGCCCTACTAGATCAGATCAAATGCCTATCCAGTCCAGCACTCCATGCTCACTCTGTACTTGGTGGCAAGCCAGCTGCCCACAGGACCCCTCAAGCAGGATGGCTGCAAGACCTCCTCCTGCCCAAGCTCCTCAGCAGCTCTGAAAAGCCAGATCGCCGCTGACTCCGAAGGATGGATTCATAACACTCTGATGTCATTTCAGTCTGGTATGGATTTCTTCAGCATCCCTGCTGCCATCCTTTCAGTATTCCTGTAGTGTAAACAGTTCGAAATCCAGATCATCCAGGATAGTTCTTGGAACATCCCACCTCTTAATCCCAAATTCTGTTCTCATTGTGTCTAATGTAAAGAGTTGTCTCACATTAAGGACTGCTGTGATGCATAGTGACTTACTTTTCCCTCTGATGTACATAATGCAAAACTTTCTAGCTGCTAGACACATGCGTGCAAGCACCCAGAGAACCTTCACAAGAAATCCCTGGATTCAACCATCTACACCACCACACCAAAACTGTTTTTTTTCCCCAATGTTTTATCAAAGTGCATGTGTACATTGATCCCAAAAAATGAATAATGGCAGCGTGGTGGTAGAATAAATCAATAGCTATGTTGAGTACCTTTTGGGATAAAAAGTATATTTATATTCATATATATATAAATAGGAATGAACTTAAACTCCAAGTAAAAATTAAGTGTATACACAATGTTGTGTAAAAAATCTGAAATCAAAAGCAGAGCAGGGAAATCCATGTGAATTGGTCCCAAAATGAGAGCAAATGATTCAGAATTCCCAGAATCCTGAAAAAGGCTTGGGAGAGAACCAAAAAAAGAAAAAAAATGGTGCCAAAGTAGCAACAGACAAGGACCATAATGAGAGTGAGCAGGATTAGAAACAGTAAATATCCCCACAAGATGAACATTTTGGGAGAGTATTTCTAATCTATGCTATGAAAATGCTTGGAAATAAAAATGGGAGAATATTTGTCATATGTAGGCTTCACTTCATCAAAAAAAAACAGTGAATTGTGATGATCACATTAAAACAATTACTCTAAGATGGAATTCATCGAAACACACTCAGTGACATTGTACATTATATTATTGCTTTTGTTTGAATTTTTCTTGCAAAAAAGAAATGAATAAAGCCACATGTTTGATATCAAAGATGAAACAATAACTTGAGATTTCAGTAGTGCCATCAGACCTTGCAGGTTGCCTCCTCCTTCCTTCCTTCCTTCCTTCCCTCCCTCATTCCTTAAACCTGAAGTAAACAAGCAAACAAATGTAAAACAAGCTGAAAAAAAGACAGAGGATGGCATAGGGAGGTTGAAAGCTGCACGTGCCCGTGGCAAAACGCGAACACATTGTCTTTGTTCCCAATATTTATATTGACTAGAAATACTGAACGTGAATTGATGCACATGCATTTCCTGTGAACAAAGGCCACTGACATGCCGGTGGGATTGTAACTATGTTGATAAGTTCTGCTTCAAATAGGGGTTGAAAGCTGTGATCCCGTAACTTTGTACTAAGCATGGGGAGCGCTAGGGCAGGGGAGCGCAAACTTTGTCATCATGCCTCTCCGAGAAAAGGACTGCCTGAGTCTCTCTGAACCAGGCAAACAAACAAGACAGACAGACAGCTTAGCTAGAGGCGCTCCCTCTCCTCCTGGGCTCACAAGCTGGCTGATCAAAGGCAAAGTGAAGGAGATGAGCCTCAAGGAACAGAAATCCTGTGAAATTATTGCTGCCTTGGTCCTTGGGATATTTTGGTTACTTATGACACTGAATACCATCATTTCTTATCCAGCTTATTCTTAGACTCGCTCATCTTCGACTTTGGCGCATGCAGTGTGGCTTTCTTCGCCCTCTCTCAGCTTCCCCAGCTGCGTATGACCCATTCCATCCCATTTCCCATTATTCCGGTTCCCCTCTGCCAAGATAGGTCTTGTTTTGAGAATTCCCCAGGCTTCCCAGGCAGCTTTTCCAGGAGGCAAAGGTGGCCTGGGTGTGGTGGCACACTCACACAGTGGCCTCATGATATTCAGGATTGGCCCAAGATGGCTTCCTGAGGGAAAAGACAAGATGGCTCCCGCCCAGCCCAGAGCCGTATGGCGATCCTGCCTACTCTGGAAGACGAGCTCAAGGGAAATGTGGGTGACAGAGTATTGCCTTCCAGTTCGTTGCTCTTTTCATTCTGTTGCCGTTTCGCAACTGTGTTTTTAGCATATTTATTTTATGATTACATTAACAATCAGAGACAGTATGGTGCAGTGGCTGGGGTATTGGAGAAGGGCCTTGGGAGATCCAGCTTCTAGTCTCCACTCAGCCATGGAGCCAACTGGGTGGCTTTGGGCCAGTCATCGACTCCCAGCCTAACCTCCCTCACAGG